GATTAGGTAGATTATAAATTAGTATAGTTGTAATACTTTATTTGGAGTTAAAGGGGTGTGTAGATTGTTAGCATTATAATTGTTTTAATTGGATTAATGATTGTAGAAGAATTATGGAAATATGAACTTGATCCTGTATTCAGCTCCGGGAAGCCGAGGAGGGTATGGGGGGAAAGTTAAAGTTAATGTATTGTGTATACTGGAAGATCTATATTTTACAAAAAATAAAAAATTTAAGGAAAAAAAAATGGAACAAACTATGTTGCATTACGTTCTTGATTAAATTATCTTTCCATTGATATATAATTTTATGGTACTACTCCAAAAAAAAGTGGTGTTATTAGCCATCCAACCTCAAAAATACACTTTTCCCAAAAGGTTTCCGCAATTTTGGCCACTATTGTTCCTGGCAAAGACTAGTCTCCCCACCCCCTTCTCCTGAAGTTACTCCCCTCCAGATGTTCCTTGTGAGGAGGCATGGGATGACCAAGTAGCCTTGCAGCCCTTTCTCTGGACTTGCCTACACTCCACTCTCCATCATTTTTTCTCAGCTGAACCTAGCTTAGATGTGGTTTGTCAGGTGAGCCTACCATAAAGTCTCCCAGGTAGCTTTCCCCTTGAGTTCCCAGGGGAAAAGTAGGACATTTCTGTTGGATATAAATCAGGGGTGTCAAACTGCCAGCCCGCAGGCCAGATGTGTCACGTCGAAACTGCGCCCACTCCATGGCCGGAAATGGGGAAAAAGTCGCGATATGTCACGACACGTCACGTGACATTGCGAGTTTGATACCCCTGAAACAGATAATAAAATACTTTTCTCTCACATGAAAATGAGAAATGCACAACTTCTCCATTGCCTATGTAGATACCCCAATGCTGGAAAGGCAAAACCAGTTGGAATTGAATCATATCTCCCGGCTTTGGAATGTCTCCATTTTGGAAGATGTGTTCTACATCTTCTTTGATCCCGGCCTGTGTAGAAATACGGGGAAAGAGACTGAAATGGATTCCAATAAAGTATCAATAAAAATTTCAATGGCAGGTTAAGTAACCTGATTCTAATGATGTCTGCAAGAGATTGATTTGTAGTTCAAATTTTACATTATGCTAAGATATAATTTTGGTCTCTAATTCGTGTAGACAGAGATGTTGTAGATTAATCCCTAAACCATTCTTTCTCAACCTTAGCCGCTTTAAGATGGGTGGACTTCATCTCCCAGAATTCCCAGCTGGAATGCTGGCTGAGGGATTTGGGGAGTTGAAGCCCACCCACTGTAACGGTGCTCAGGTTGAGAAACAGTGCTGTAAACCACGATTCCCCAATACAAATCGATGTGGGAACACAATCTGTGACATAGTTCGCCTATCCTATTGGCTGGGCTTTAGCTATTGTACTAAGCCCTGGTTCATTTTAACCTTAAATAAGCTTCAATTAGCACAGTTCACAGGTCACTAAGTCACAAATCTCAGCATGAAAAGCAAAGAGGGGAGGCCAAAACATCATGTTGTGCCAAAATAAATCAACTGTTGGCTTAGAATAATGGGTCGCCTAGGTTTTTAAGCTATGATATGGTTGGTTGGCTTGAATTTAGCATGAATCCTGGTTAAAGTGATCCATAACTTTACTGTATGGGTTAAGAGTGTTAGGTAAACTAAAGGTTTAATATTCAAGATTCTATTTATTAATGCTAAGACTTTATTAATCTTTGAAGAAGAATCACTGTTGTTTTGCATTCCTTCACCCTCAAATTTAACCATCACATTGTGGTTCTCCCCATAGATGAATTCAGTGTTGAACAACCCCCTGAAATCTTGAATGTAGCAACTGGGAAAAATGATTAAATGCATGGGAACCAGTCATAAATTCTAAAATACATGCAATTGGTTTAATATTAATTCCTTTTAGAGTTGTTCAGCAGATAGCAGCAACACCAGACTAACCTCTGCTTGATCATAGTAGCACACGGATGGGAGACCACCAGGAAAAGCCCAAAACTGTAAATTAGGATGAAACATAAAAAAAAAAGACCCTGGAAAAAGGTAATTACAAATCTCTTCCATAAGTGCACCCAAAAAAAAAACCTATGTGAAAAACTCCCCCAATCACCAGGAGCTGAGTTTATCCTATAGGAGAATTTACCTTTTCTTCTTTTGGGAATGTGAATTAAATCAGATCAATTTTTTTTTTAACCTCTGGGTTACGGTAATGGGATCTCAGAAAAATTGAAATCTCTCTCATACGAAGATCTCACTCACCAACAAGTTCCAAATGGATGTCATCTCTGGATTTATTTATTTTTATTTTAAATTTCTTCTTCACAATTTTCTAGGCTTCTCAGTTTCTGCCAGGAATTTCCAGTATTCTCTCTTGTTACGCACAAGGAAAACAACAGACAGACTCTTTAGTTGCTTTTATCACCATTTTTACAACAACAATCACACAGAGCATCGCCAAAGATTGAAAACATCCCAATGTCCTAAAATGTAATAAATGGCCACTTGGTTCTTCCTGGGATTTCCTTGACAGAGATTCTTATTCTCAAATTAAGCTCTAGAGGGCAGAGGAATTACATTTTATGATTCCACCAGCAAAGAGAGAAGAGATGGCTCAATCTTTGCTTCTTTACGGGAAAAAAAAATCTAGTTACATCGGTGGAAGCTGGAAACACTCTCCGAGAGAGTATTTTTTGGGTAAGGCAATCATCACAAGAAGTTCTCAGTTTGCATTCATTCAGTCCCTGTTCGAAGTTATAGGGACCCTGAAAAAAATGGACCTTATGGACCAATCCTCTTACTTACAACCCTCACCGCCTCCCCATGGTCATGTGATCAAAATCCAGACGCTTGGCAACTGGCTCGCATTCACGACGGTTGCAGCGTCCCCATGGTCATGTGATCAAAATCCAGACGCTTGGCAACTGACTCGCATTCACGACGGATGCAGCGTCCCCATGGTCACGTGATCAAAATTCAGACGCTTGGCAACTGTCTCGCATTCACGACGGTTGCAGCGTCCCCATGGTCACATAATCAAAATCCAGACGCTGGGCAACTGACTCGTATTTACGACGGTTGCAGCATTCTGGGCTCCTCCGATCACCATTTCCCATCTTCCCAGCCGACTTCCAACAAGCAACGTCAATTGGGGAAGCCAGATTCATTTAACGACCCCCTTGGTTCGCTAAACAAGTGTGGTGATTCGCTTGGCAACCACGGCAAAAACAGTCATAAAATTGACTCATTGAACCGCCCCGCTTAGCCATAGAAATTCTTTATGCACACTGCTCAACCACAAACTGCCAAATCAGCTGGTAGCTAGTTGTATGATTGTTCAGAGCTATTCTTTCTGTTCTAATAGATTTAATTCAATACAATACAATACAATACAATACAATAACAGAGTTAGAAGGGACCTTGGAGGTCTTCTAGTCCAACCCCCTGCTCAGGCAGGAAACCCTATACCATTTCAAACAAATGGTTGTCCAATCTCTTCTTAATGTTGGAGCACCCACAACTTCTAAAGGCAAGTTGTTCCACTGTTTAATTGTTCTGTCAGGAAATTCCTCTTTAGTTCCAGGTTGGTTCTCCTTCTTGATTAGTTTCCATCCTTTGCTTCTTGTTCTGCTTTCAGGTGCTTTAGAGAATAGCTTGGCTCCCTCTTGTTTCTGATATAATAATAATAATAATAATAATAATAATAATAATAATAATAATAATAATAATAATAATAATAATAATAATAAAGTTGGAAGGGACCTTGGAGGTCATCGAGTCCAACCCCCTGCTCAGGCAGGAAACCCTATACCATTTCAGACAAATGGCTGTCCAGTCTCTTCTTAAAAACTTCCAGTGTTGGAGCATTCACAGCTTCTGGAGGCAGGTTGTTCCACTGGTTAATTGTTCTCACTGTCAGGAAGTTTCTCCTTAGTTCTAGGTTGCTTCTCTCCTTGATTAGTTTCCAACCGTTGCTTCTTGTCCTGCCTTCAGTGGTTTGGAGAATAGCTTGACTCCCTTTTCACACTATCATAGCGTATGGCCACTAAAATTGATAGCTGGTGGGACATTTGCGATTACAGGCAATCCTCAATTTACGACCACAATTGAGCCCCAAATTTCTGTTGCTAAGCGAGACATTTGTTAAGTGAGCTTTGCTCCATTTTATGACCTCCCTTGCCAGGTTTGTTGAGTAATTCCCTGCAGCTGTTCAGCTAGCAACACGCTTGTTAAGTGAACCTGGCTTCCCCCATTGACTTTGCTTGTCAGAAGGTCACAAATGTTCATTTAGTGACCGTTCCAAGTTACAACGGCACTGAAAAAAGCGACTCGGGACCGTTTTTCACACTTGCGACCGTTGCTGCATCCCCGTGGTCACGTGATCAGAATTCAGACGCTTGGCAACTGTCTCGTACTTATGACGGTTTGCCATGTCCCGGGGTCACCTGATCCCCTTTTGCGACCTTCTGACAAGCAAAGTCAACGGGGGAAGCCAAATTCACTTAACAAACCGGCTTACTAACTTAGCAACTGCGGTGATTCGCTTGATCACAGTAGCAAGAAAAGTCATAAAATGGGGCAAAACTCACTTAGTGATTTGGGGCTCGGTTGTGGTCGTAAGTTGAGGGATGCCCCTACACAACAATTTGGGAATCTCAGCTTTGAAGATTGGGAAGCCGGTCATCTTATTTCAAACCATCTGCTTTCCGCAATGTGATTGCCAAGCCAAATTGCGCTTCAGTTTTTGTTTCTCTTTTTAGAAGGAAGGAAAAATGAGATAAAAGGCCAACTGGAGTTGACTTGCAGGGCGACGGGGCCTAGATAACATCTGGCGCACAGGTAAAAGACTGTGAGCAATCTGCTCTCTATTTGCCAAGCTTATCTTCGGCAAGCAGCCTTTACGGAATCATGATTTATGTTGTTTGACTATTTCTTCACCAAATAAGACCTGAGCAAAGTTATAGCGGGTGTGTAGGCAACCTTGGCTCTTTTATGACTCGTGGGCTTCAACTCCCAGAATTCCTGAGCCAGCTTGGCTCAGCTTGGAAACATCTCCCTTTCCCTCAGCATGGCTGGCTCAGGAATTCTGGGAGTTGAAGTCCACGAGTCATAAAAGAGCCAAGGTTGCCTACCCTTGAACTAGGACATTGGATAATCTGCTTGGAAGAAGGATTTCTTCAGCTCAGTGGCTCTTAACAGGAATTAAGAGGACTGGAGGCTAAAACATACAAAGAAAGGTTGCAGGAATTGGGTACGTCTAGCCTAATGAAGAGAAGGACTAGGCATGACATGATAGCAGTGTTCCAATATTTGAGGGGCTGCCACAAAGAAGAGGGAGTCAAGCTATTGTCCAGCCTGAAGGCAATGGAGGGAAATTGTATGTTTGAACGAGAGCAAAAAAGGAGGTACACCAAATCTTTTCATTACTTGAGCTCTCTTTCCCAACTTCCATGTATTTCACATCAGCAATAACATCACAGAGAAAATGTCTCCTATATACTACCATAAGAGTCCCATAGTCGGTCCTAATTTTACACTCAAGTCACTTGACATGCTATACTTCAATGTTTGATCAGAGAGGAGAACATCTCAACCAGCTTATCAAAGGTATGCATCAGAGGGCATCTAACTTACACAAGGAAAGCTACCTCTCTCAAAATTGTGGATCTACTGTGCCCAACACCTTTTTCCACTGAGTTGAAAACGTGATGGATCATCCTAAATCTTCCATTGAATTGAGAACATGATGGATCTATTGTGCCCAACACCTTTTCCCATTAAGTTGAGAACATGATGGGTCATCCTAAATCTTCCACTGAGTTGAGAACATGATGGGTCATCCTAAATCTTCCACTGAGTTGAGAACATGATGGGTCATCCTAAATCTTCCACTGAGTTGAGAACATGATGGGCCATCCTAAAACTACCACTGAGTTGAGAACATGATGGGTCATCCTAAAACTTCCACTGGGTTGAGAACATGATGGGTCATCCTAAAACTTCCACTGAGTTGAGAACATGATGGGTCATCCTAAAACTTCCACTGAGCTGAGAACATAATGGGTCATCCTAAAACTTCCATTGAGTTGAGAACATGATGGGTCATCCTAAAACTTCCACTGAGTTGAGAACATGATGGGTCATCCTAAATCTTCCACTGAGTTGAGAACATGATGGGTCATCCTAAAACTTCCACTGAGCTGAGAACATAATGGGTCATCCTAAAACTTCCATTGAGCTGAGAACATGATGGATGTACTGTGCCCAACACCTTTTTCCATTGAATTGAGAACATGATGGGTCGTCCTAAATGTTCCACTGAGTTGAGAACATGATGAATCATCCTAAATCTTCCATTGAGATGAAAACATGATGGATCTAATGTGCCCAACACCTTTTTCCATTGAGAACAGGATGGGTCATCCTAAATGATTTCATTTGATATGGTGGTCTACCAAATCTAGGAAACCCACAAGCAGAAGGTCAAGATATATCTCCTCCCCCATCTTTGCTGTGGGCACCTAACATGGAGAAATTCTAGGCTAGAAATAAATGACTAGCAGTCCTTGGTAGATTTGCCCTCTAGAACCTTGGGTGCTTCTAAGGCCATCTAAATTAGCATCCAACACAACATCTTGCAACAGCACGTTCTTCTCCAACTATGAATCACTCCCCTCCTTTTTTATATATTTTACATCAACCAATTCAGCTTTTGCAACAACTTCTTCTTTGCGGTGGGACTGTCTGTTGGGGAAGTGTGGAGAATTTGCACTGTTTGAGTTTAAGCTAGAAGTTCCTAACTTCAAGGTCAGAGTTGCCTTAAGTTTAGAAGACCACACCCGTGCCCAACACCATCTTTGCTAGATGAAATATGGAAAGAGTAACACTGTTTTTCTTGGCAAAAATCTTTCAACTAAAATTATGCTTCTGAATGTATTTTTGTCACTCCAAGAGAAGTTCTTCAAATGCTTCCTTGAGGTTCAAACTTTGTTTGCCACCCAGGAAGGCCATTGTCTGAACTGCAATAAGATCCGGGTTGAACTGCAGCTGATTTGATATATATATTTTTTTCAGTGTAATGCCTATGAAAAGCCATTATTTGCTTTTGAGCAACATTGGGTGTGAGAAAAATGATTACAGTTTTGATAAGGGAAAAAAAAATAACCTAGGCAAAAAAGAACAGTGGGCGATGAAGTCTTCATGAGATTGCCAATGCTTAAATGGATCAAATCTTGGGTGATTCACTATGTTTGTTCATCTCCCTTCTTCTAATTTAGCAATACATT